TAAGAATCATAAGATTGAAAGTTTATCGAAATCATTAGGATGGTGCAGAAATGTAACCACATTTCCTTATGAGAGGAGGCAGTGGAAGATTTGAGGACAAAAAGGAAAAAAAATGGAAAAGTATGTGACTGCAGAAGCAGAGAATAGAATGGGCAGCCACATGCCAAGGAAGGCCCAGGGCCACCATAAGCTGGAAGAGGTCAGAAATGGATCCTCTCCCTGGAAACTTCAGAAAGATCCAGCCCTGTCACCATGTATAGTTTTAGTCCTGGAAGACTCAATTCTGACTTCCAGCTATAAGAAATGAAAGAGAATAAATTCCTACTGTTTCAAGCCATAAATTTGTAATAATTTCTTATAGCAGCAATAGAAATCTAGGACACCCCACTATAACAAATACATGATTAAGTCTTCTTTATATTATTTTTCAATTTTTATATTTCATTAGTGCATGTTCGCAGTACATAAGGACCTCATTCCTTGTGGGGAATTGGTATAGGTGCATAAAGCATCTTCTTTTTTTTTCACTTCTCCTGCCTTCCTTGATCCCTTTCCCATTTGCACCAGGTAGCTCCTAGGTACATATATTTTCTCCATTTTCACAACACTTTTTCTGGAATAATCTACCATCATCTCTCAAGAAAGCAGACACCACAGCCTCCAACTTCCCATGGCTCTTAGAATAAGGAGCAAAGTCCTCAGCATGGCCCACAACAACTTCCTTCTAGATTCTGTGTCCCTTTTAGGATTATGTTGTACTCTTGAACACACTGGTTTGCTTTCCATTCTTGGAAGAAACCAATCCTGTATCCAACATCAGCCATTTGTACAAAGTTTTCCTAGGATTATGTTGCTTGTGACCTTCAAATCATAGCTTAAATGTCAATTCCTAACCATAGACTTTCTGATCCCCAAGACTGGATTCATTCAGTATACTGAATGATTGCAAATTTACATTAATTTTAGAGTTTTTAAAATTATGTATGACTCCTCAGATAGCCATTAAGCCCCCAGGGAATAGGAGAGAATAGAGGTATAATTGCTTTTGCATACCACTCTGTCCTCAGCATTTGGCCAAAAGCCTGGCAAAGAGCAAGTCCCCAACACATAGTGGTTGGATGGCTCCCAGAGCCCAGGGAAGAATCTTTGAGTGTGTGTAGATTTGGCAGCCTAAGCACTTGACTTTGTCCTAACCTTCCTAGATGTAGCTAGAGCTTGGAGGTTGGGTAACATGAGAACTTGACTGCATACAGCAATGGTCAAAGAAACTCTAGAATGAGAACTTCACCTTCAGTCTGATCTTCAATAAGTTAGGTGCTAGGGTTCCTGTCAGTTTAGGATTCACACAACTATACTGGGTTTTTCTTCACCACTTAGCCTACCCCTCTCCATTTCTAGGCCAGCAGAGTTTCCTTGGGACTTTCTTGGGTTAAAGCACTTCAAAAAGTGTGTAACAGACCAGAGTCTTTAACTAGCACCTCTGTGTCCCAGGATCCTAGGGTTTATCTGATGGCACCTCATAATCAGTTGGGGCTGGGGGTGGCTCTGAATTAACCAGAGAAATTCTTCTTTATCTATTGTAAATCCTGGGCTCCCACAAAGCAATTTTTTAATGAAGTGTTTTCATCACTAGAAACAAAAGGGAAAAGTTTGTAAACCATTTTTATAGTTACTCACACCACACTTGATGCTTTGTAAAGTGTATGTTAATTTTTTCCTTCTCATATAAACCCTTCTAGCTAAGAGGAGATTATTAACTCCAAAAGACAGATCAAAAAAGGACCCAAGGTGCTTAAATAATTTGACCAAGATCACGCTTCTGCTATAGGACAGAATTTGCCCTCAGTTCTGTGACACTGGACTGTACAGAAGCTATCAAATAGTCATTTGAGCCAATTTTATATATTCACTAAGACACTGGAAGAATTCGGAGAACATTTAGGTTTCCTATGCCTGGAGAGAAAATAGCATACCATTTCAACACTGATCTCCTCTAGGTGACAAGATTGTGAATAAATTTATTGCTTTCTTTATGTTTCTCTATAACATCTACAATGTGCATGCATTAATTTTATAATTAGGAAACAAGGAAGTATGATTATAAAGTGAGTCAAGGGAATAATGGGAAAACAAAAAATTTCCAACTCACCCTGCATTCAAGGGGTGAAGGCAGTGACTGATCACTGGGTACTGGCTCTGAGCCTGCTGTGTCAATTACTCCTCGTGTGATCCTCATGTCTCACCTCCTCGATCCTCAGTGTAAATGGGGAAAATAAAGCTACATGTATTAATGAAGCTCTTGATGGCAAATGGCAAAAACACAATTGAAGAGCAAAAAAATTAACTGAGTTACATAAGTGAAGAGCTAAAGCACCTCACTGTAGACATTGCTGTCTATCTATCCGTGAGATCAACCTTCCCTTTCTTAGTTCTCACATACTCTCTCTCCCTGAGCCTGGATATCTGGGAACCAGCCAGTTTGTTCCATCTCTCTCATATTAGCAAATCTGGAAGGAATACAATCTGTCTCAGAGCTCCCATACCAAGCCCTAGGAAGATTCTATTAAGCCATGCTTAGACCTTGTCCAAGAACCAATCACTGTGACCAGGCAATAGGGAGTAGAATAGGCCCAGCCAATCCTGTGTGCACACTCCAGTGCCTAGTGGCTTCCTTCCTGGATACTTAGCTCTCCTGTGATAGACTCCACACACAAAAACATCCTCACCAATCCTGATGAAGTAGGCATTTCAACTGACCAGAGGATCCAATTTATACGTGCTGTTTCAGAGTTTAATTAGCTTGTGAAATGCATTAAGTGATTGCTATGGTTTCTGACTGGGTGTCCCCCTAAAGCCTCATGCGGCCATGGGGCAGGCTTTTAGAGTTTGATTGATTATGGATGTGAGAGCTACACCTGCCCTGGGGTGGATAGTTTGAATATGTAAGGGAGAGGAAAAGGGTGCTTGAGGCCATTGCTGGCTTTTGTGTTTGTTGCTTTGCTGTGTTCTGCGCCAGGAGCTGTAGCCCTCTGCCATGTGCCACTCTGCCTTGTAATCTGCCAAGTACGGACTGAAACCTCCACAAACTGTAAGCAAAATAAACCTTTCCTTCCTTAATTTTGGGCGTCAGGTATTTTGTCCCAGCAACGAGAGAAAAGTAACCAAGACAGTGATACATACATTTTGCTAAACAATATTTCCCGTACTTAGTACAGGTAAAATAAAATCCTTAAATTCCAGATGACAGCACAAAACAAATGAACACTTTGTTGGAAAAAAAATATAGCACCATAAGAAATTGGGTTCAGGAGAAAAACAGGACTGTGCAAGGTTCAGAGAAAATAGGTGTGTAACCTCTGACACAGACTAAAGGCTTATGCCCACCAAGCCCTTATCTGTCTCTTCTTTCTTTCTTTCTTTCTTTCTTGGCTTATCTACTCTTAGAAAATTGGAGGCAAGAATTGCAGAAGATGCTCCTCCCTCAATAAAACTTCAAATAAATTAGATATTGAACAAGATACTCAGATCCTGGCAAGAATAAACAACAACAACAAAAAATGGGTCTTGAGCTGTTGGGAGATGATAAATTGTCAGTTTCTCTTTAATAAGATTGTGTCTCATCACCATCTCCTGCAAGGATTTGATAGCTTTTGTTTTTAACCTGTGAAGATTAAAATCAATTCCCAACTAGAGTTGGGAGCTCTGAAACACAGAGCCACAAGTATATCAATTAATCAATCAATCAAGTTGGTCAATAGATCAGCATGTCCATCTTGAGGCCAGCTTTTGTTGGGCATCTGGAGCAGAGAAAAGAATTAGAAAATACAACCCTGCAGATGCTGCCTGAGGGAAGAAGCCATGCTTCAGAAAGCATTCACTCCAACTTTTAAGGCAACAGCAAACACATTTCCATGAGTGAGTAATGTCCTACTGTCCCATGGATGCATTTAATTTTGAACCCTGAACTACTGAGACTTCAGCTGAAGTCTTTGGTGCTGCTCAGTTGTCCACATGGCCAATATCTGCCCCTTTTTGTCAGCTAGGTTATGGGTCCTAACTGAGCTCCCAGGAACTTCATAAGAGGCAGAAATGAGAAAGTAGACTCACAGTGGAGCTCAAATTCCACCTTCACTCTTTTCTACTTTGCTGACTTTGTTTAGTTCATTAAGCCTTCTTATCTCTGGTACCTTTCAGCACCAATGCAAAAATCACAACATGCACTCTGCAGCCCTGTGAGGATTAAAATGAACACATGTATATGGAGTGGCTGATACAGAGACATGCGTCAGAGTCAACGGCAGTCTGTTAGCAATACAGCCATTATTAGGGTAGTGACAGGATTTCACCTACTGGGTTTTACTCTTAGGTTTGATTTTTACATTACTTTATTTAAACATATTTTTGTATCCACCAAAATTTTATATAAAAATGTTTTGCTCCTTTTTTTTTCTTATTTGTTTTTCCCCCTCCAAATGGACTCCCTCACCCTACAATAAGCCTATTAAATTCTACAGGCTTCCACTTACATGACACAAACACCCCTCTGGCTTCAGCCCAAACAAAACTTAATTGTCCCCTTGTTTGTCTGTGTATGAGTTTGCTTTTCTAAATAAAACATTTGAGACTCCGCTTTCTTGTCCCTTGGTGTTTTTTAACAACCAGCACTGTATGAACTAGCCAAAGAGACAGGGTTTCTTGGAGTCAAAAGTAAGGGTGTGTGAAGCAAGGTTCCATTTGAAGCCACAGCTCTTAATTTCAACTAAGAAATGGTTGAAGAAGTGTGATACAGAAGCAGCACGCAAACTCGGAGACCAGAAGAGGCAGTATCTTAATTAATGCTGCTTCTGTCTCCTGTGAGTTTTGTGTCTTTGGCTCTGTTACTAAACGAATACAAAATCAGCCATTGTTCTCTTTCCCCCAAGAATGAATTTGGAATCATTCATGGACACCATTTTCTTAAATGTTTCATAAAATGACATTAATAAGGAGTCATCACTTACTCAGAGGTGAGGAAGTCAAGGGAAAGATTTCCATGGGAGATTCTGGAGGAAGGAGTCCACAGCAAAAAGCAAGCAATTCAAATTCAGGTCTTGGTCCCACCATCAAGGTCAGTGTGACCTTGAATAAACAGCCCCTCCACCCTGGTGTCAGGCAAACTTTGGGTCCCCGATTCTCATCTCATAAAACCTTACTGCTTTCCTCTCTCTTCTCTTAGCTGTCCCAGCATCCACACCAGCTACTCCTTGCCTGTTTATAGCGATAGTAACCCGTGCTTATAAAATATGAACCAGAGATTGTGAAAGATCTGTGACTGCCTTCTCTTATTTAATTCTTACCACAACCTCCAACATAGATGCTATTGTTACCATTACTTGACTGTTGAGGAACCCAGGCTATGAATAGTCACATGGCTTCTTACTTTAAAAAGAAACAAACAAAAAGCCACTTTTAGGGCTTGAAACTATGAGCCTCCAGGGCTCTCCTGCCTTTCAGCACTTAATCTCAGCCTCCCAAGCCATGCAATTTGCCAAGGTCATCGCTTCTCTTTTCAGGTTTCCTGAATCATTTTGCTCTCTTTGTCAGGTCTCTCCAGGCCACCAAACTGCCCGGACTTTGCTGTAGGTCTTTGACAGGAGGCACCATGAGGTCATGGACAGTACAGAGACCTGGAGGTGGGCTGAGCTCTTGTCTCTACATGGAGTCACACAAGAAGGTGCTTCCAGGCACCTGCCCCCGCCTGACCATTCTTGTGTGGAGCACTCGCTCCTGTCTGTGCTGCTGCTGGGAATCTACAGCTGGAGCTCCCAGTGCAATCTCTGACACCAAGTAGATAAGCTGCCAAACAATAGCCTCACTCTCCTCTGCTCATGTCCCCCTTTCCCTTAGGACTCAACTATTAAAAAGCTGTTTTCCTGTTTCGAAAGTTGACCAAATTCCTCTTTGAATCAGTCTGGGTCCAAACAAGAAACAGACCACAGACTGAGAACAGATTCAAAGAGAGTTTCTTTCTGAGGGGGCTTCGTAGGAAGCTGAGCATAAAGATCACTAACAGGATAGGACAGTAGCCTAGGATTTGGTACCAGTAAAACCATACCATCCTTAGGACCAAAGTCTGAGTGGAAGGAGAAGTTGCCAGAAGCCAGGGAGAGAGTGAGTAGAGAAACTACTAAGTTTCTTTGGAAGAGCTTCTTTCAAAGGACACAACCAGCCAAAAGTGACACAGTAGGGAAGTGATTAGGGGGTAAATAGTCTAACTTCACTCTGGCTGTGAGTTCATTCCAGAAACTTAGAATTGGCCCAAGCTATTTTGATAAAGTAACTCTGAAACATGGGCCCATAAGCAAGTTAATATACTGATTTAAACCAGGTGTGGTGGTGCACACCTGTAATCCCAGCACTTCGGAGGCTGAGGCAGAAGGGTCACTGCAAGTTTGAGACCAGCCTGGGATGCAAAGTGATCTCGAGGCCAGCCTGAACTGCATAGTGAGACCCTGTCTCAAAAAGATGAAAAAATAAAAAGAAGAAAGAAAGAAAAAAAAAGAAATGCACTGATTAATAGTGTTGCTTTGTAACTGTGAGCCCAAGGAATTTGGGCTGCTTTGCACCAGTTTGTCTATTGACAATGGTGAGATGGGTGATTTGTACTCTCTGACCTCTCTCTGAATACTTTTTATGTTTCCCCCTAGCTGGGCCCATTTGAAACAGTTAGCAAAGGAACTCATCAATGTCATTTGTGTGGTTCAGCTTCAAAGCTGGAGAATGTATCTGAGAGAGAGTGAATCTCCCCATCGCTCCTCCATTGTAAAATTTATGAACATTGCATCACACCCACTTGGCTCTTCTTAACAGTATATCTTACATGTGAGTGTGTTGTCCTCACCCACCTGACCATGATACCTCTAAGACTATACACCCCTTTCCTTTCCACGGCCATCTCCAACATATTTCAGAGCCTACCATGGAGCAGGAGCATGGCTCCCTCATGCAGGAGCAACTGCCTGCCCAGGAGGACTATCGAGCATCATGAGAAACCAGCCAGCTGCCTCCTCTCCCAAAGACTGGGCCTTCTTAATTGCTCCCCAAAACCTTACCAGCTACAGAGACATTTTAGAAGGTGGAGAAAGACAGCTGAGGGGAGAGAGAATGTTTACAGGTTGATGCCTAGTCATAACAGTCCTCCAAGTGCCTCCCTTCTGTGCCATTAGGTAAACAGAGATGGGAATCACATTTCAGCCTGACAGTTTAAAAGGCACGTCAAGAAACAATTAAAAAGATCTAGAGCAATCTGATCCTGAGAGACTTCTGTCAAAGGGAATATGCTTCCTACCAGGGCCAGTGTGGAAGTGATAAGGCCCTGGAGCCCATGCTCAGGGCCTTGAATTCTCAGAAGCAGGATCCTCTGAGGCCTGGGACTGGAGATTGTATGAGCCTGGAAAATTTGACCCTTTCCTGCATGTTAATGTTTTCTAAATCACCTGTAATCAGCAGCCCAGGACATCTGCCCAGAACACCTCAGCCAGAGCATGCTACCTTCCTATGCCCATTACACCCTCACTGTGAGGAATAATATTCATAGAGCAGTGCCGAAGGACATGCTGTCTGTCACTCCTATGGATCAGCATTTTCCAGATTGCTTTCCCTGGGGCCCTGGAATTCCTCAGGGTGTCCCTAAGGCTCCCTAGAAACTAATTCCCTGTCTCAGCCTCAATCCAGAGAATGCAGGGTCTGATCAGCTATGTGGCGGATATCTTTAAAGCCATCCCTTTTAAAAAGGGATGCTGCTGCCTGAAAAGTGCAAAAGCCATCCTTTTAGCCTACTTTTTTTTCTGTGATCAAACCAGCTTATGAGAAATCTGTAAACCTGAGCCATGTTGTTTTGCTCCACTGCTCTCAGAATTTCTGATGGTAAAAGGAGTTTCAGTGAAATCCCATCAGCCCAGATTGTGGGACCTGACAGAAAAAAGCTATTGAAATTCCTGAAATGTTATTTGAAAGACACTTTTTGGTGAATCCATGATGCCACTTTTTCTGTATCAGAGAAAGTTGACTGTGCCACGTGTCCACTATGGATTGGGAAACTGACTGTGTTTTCCTCTTGGCCTTGGCCGAGGAGGATCTCAGTGCTGTCTCTACAGCTCCTTCTACACTACAGAACCTGAGCTCTTACAGATCCTAACATCTACCACAGCTCCCTCAGTAACATACAGTATCATTTTGATCGCATTTATTTGTGTAAGTTAATGCAAAATCTATGTCTCCTCCCTCCTTTATGAAGAAGGAGGGAGACTATAAGTATATACATAAATAAAAGAAAGTGGTTATTAAAGAGAAAAGAAGCAACTTCATCCATGTGGTCAGTTTTGCCACCCTACACATACATTCTAATCCCTGAAATAGGCTGGTTTTCTCATTCCCTCCTACAAATCCGTTTGCTCCCAGCCTCTGGCTAGAGAAGGATATCTAGGCCCCTGTGGATGGATGGAATTCCAAGACCTCCCCAGTCACAGCCTCACAGGCTCCCCCATTTTCTGCACTCCCATTATGCTGAGATATTTGCCTGACCCCAAATTTAAACCTTGGCTTACTTGGTCTCTAGGCTTCTAACGCCTCTCCCCACCTTCCTCATTTTCCTGTGGAAAGGGCAGGGCCTGGAACAAATTTCCACTCCTCTGTCACACCTGCTTTCCCTCTCAGTACAGTCAGCTGCCCCACTCCCTGTTTCTTCCATCTGAGTCACACCTCTGTTGGTGTCCTTTAGTTTCTTCCACTGGACTCCAAGCTCCTTCTGGTTGGGTCATACCTTTAACTATGCTGGATCTGGAGCAGAGAGAGAAAGTTTGTGCCAGAGGAGTTAGGGCTTCGGCTCATGTCATGAAAGACAGGGAGACAGACCCAAGAGGCATCACTTTGTTACTTGCAGTCAGCACAAGCTGTGGAAATATCATGACCATGGTCAACCCCAGTTATCCAGTGCTACCCCATCCCCATCTCCTCAGCCTTCCTGAGATCCTCCCCTCTGACCCTGGAGTACATCTACAGGAAACTGGAGGTCTGGAAGGGGTGTGACTACCATTGGCCTAGACTCAGGCTTCACCATTTTTCAAATTTCTGAGTTGAAGAATCCTTGTTGGTTTTATGAAGAAAAAGGAAACATAATCTGGGACCTCAAGGAACTACCTTTGCTTCTGTGATTCTGTTGTCTTGGTTGATGATGTGGAGTGAGCCTTCCATGACAGCAGAGTGCCCCGGCATAGCTGCTCCCTTGTGTGTGCACACATGGCACACTCACAAAAACACACACCCACACACTGAAACTTTAGTGAATTTGCAGTCAGAAAGACTTGAACTCAAGCACTAGCTCAGCCACTTGCCAAGTCAGGGGGAGGGAGGGGGTTTCCCAATCCGTATAAGCCATACTTTCCTCTGTACAGAAAGGAATGTCCTAAATTGTTTCATTTCCTCTATAAGCCAATGAAGTAGGCATAAGTAATAGCTCCAATTTAATATGTTACTTAACCCCTGCATGCCTCAGTTTCCTTATCTTTATAAGGGGGACCATATGTGTGCAAACTTCACTGGGCTGCTGTGAGACTTCAGTAAGAAAAGGTATGTATGGAACTCAGTATCAAGGCTGGACGTGAAAGCTTGTTTGTTGTATATGGGCATGTCTGTAGAGGATGAAAACCTGCAGCCTTTTGATGTGTTTTCCACTGATCCAGGGGATATGTGACCTATGGTTCTGAAATGACTGCACTAGATGACCATGAGTATACTCCTGGGAAACCGTGTCCTGCTGCATTCCTTTGGGCCAATCCTTTGATTCCTAGTGTAGACTAAAGCCACAGTCATTGATTGCCAATGAGCCCTGAATATCTGTACTTCTGAAGCTTTATTGCAAGACAATGTCCTCTTGTCAACATCTGTTGTCATCAGAATCTCTGTGCCTCTGCCTGAGGCTCTAGTGACTTCCTTCTGTCAAGTGCTGGTCACCAGAATCTGGACACAGTAGCGTCCGCACCACCACCACCATCTGTGTTTTCACCTTCCACAATATCCGTGACCCAGAGTCCTACTATAAAAGTATTAAATAAAAAATTCCTGAAATGAACAATCGGTGACTGTTAAGTTGCGTGCCAACCTGCGCAGTGTGATGGGGAAGGAGGAGTGAAGCTCGGTGGTAGAGCCCTTGTCTAGTACATGCAAGGCCCTGCATTTGATCCCTAAGGAGGG